ATGAGATCGGGGAGAGAGAGAGAGGTGGGAATTTCTCTGTGATATATGGATGTGGGAGTTGAGGGACCTTAGACATTATAAAATAAAATTGTGGATCTCTTCCATTACTAAATATAGAAAAGGAATCTTAGACTAATTTTTCCTTTATTATATATAACTTACATCTCTAACATAAATTTAAATTCTAATATAGTAATATATTTTTTATGTTATGTGAAAATTATTATGGTATTTTTTGTCTAATTTTGAACAAAAATTAATTTTAGGAGTAAATTGAAAAAAAAAATTTGAAACGTAAAAGATCAAAATGAAGAAAACTAAATTTTAAAAATCAAAGTGGAAAAATGGTCTATCACAACCAGTTTCCTGTACCCAAGAGTTAAGTATCGTGATGGCCAGTAACTAAAGTTATCTATGGCTAATTCTTAAACAAATTACTAAACGCGAGTGGAAAAATATTTAAGTAAGAGTACTAAAATAATCATTGAAACTTTTATTTTATAACAAAATTTATTGATCAAAAAGTCGATATTTACATATGAAGAATAGAATTATAAATATTATAAAAGTGCTATGTGTGTCTATTCCGTAGTCTCGCGTCTAAGACTCTCCAAAAGCTATTTTTGAATTGTATTGTTTCTTGAAAATTGGTAATCAGCTATAAGCACATAGCAAAATAAAAATATTATACTGAGAGCATAATTACCATCGATAAGCTTTGGGCTTAAAATAGATAAAATAGAATACTTTTTTATTAGAGTAAATAAATTGCTCATATTATAACAAAAATCTGTTTCAGAAATCATATGATATTATACTAAAATATATAACCATAACCACGATAAAGAACAGAACAGAGGTGATTCATGACAATACTGAGGTACGGATTCAAGAGGTGATTTGTACGGATTCTAGAGGTCACTCCCACAATAGTGTAGCACTTAACTCCGCACAGCACTTTGCTCTATGCAGAATAGGAGTCCATAGATCCATGACAACAGAAAGTCACTAAAGTGACTAATCAGAGACCAATGGTTTATTTAAGTCTCCTAAGACATAGTACTCTCATGATGATACTTACAGAAAATAATTGCTTATAAAATCATTGTCAAATAATTTCTAAAATTTAAACAAACATATCTATGGGTTTCATTTTAATCAAATAAAATTCAAAAAATAATCAACGTAATTGAAATATTAATATAATTTATAACACAAGTTATATAAAATAAATTATAGTAACTCAAAATATACATAAAATATATTATGATTACTTAAGGTATAATATAACTTATCTTAATGTTAATTTTAATATTTACCATTCATTTATTACGATCCATTAAATATTCCAAACTAAATTTTAAGTTTTGTATATAAAACAAACCAGAGAGAGAGAGTAAAGCGTTTGAGGATAGATGATGAGATTGACATCTATAGACTCTATGCATTTATATGAGATTGACATCTATAGACTATATGCATCTATAGATATTGGGGATAAGCGTGGGCCGCAAGATGCGTAGGCAGCACGATAACTTGGGGCGCACGTATTTTATTATACAAAAAATATTATGTTTTAGTGTAATTTAATTTAGAAAAAATATAGAGAAAAATATAATAAAAACATCATAATATGCAAAAAATAATATTGAATAATACTATAAAGTTAAATTTATTTTTTTGAACTCATTTATATTTGAATAATACTAATATAAAATTTAAGGGACAACTTAAATTTTTGAGTTGTTACATTCTTCCCTCTTTTTAAAATTGGTCTCCAATTTTTCATATGTGTAAGTTATCCGTTGCGCACTCTGATAAATATATATTTGATGATTAATCTGATATAAATATTATCTCAAAAAAACTTTACAAAAAACAACTCACTGTTTATTTGTCAAAAATTATTTTGGGCCAAAATGATAAATAATGGGTGACTTTAAAAACTTTTCATTGGTTTTGTTTCCCAAAAAAAAAAGAAAAAGAAAACAAGAACGCAATTAATTGAACGACTGGAAATGAAATGACAGAATCATATGCAAGAGTTAAAAGAATTTGAGATAAACTTCCATTTCTTTTATCCGTGAACTTTCCATTGATGAGAAATAATTTCAAAATCAGTATTTTTATTAAAAAAAAATATAAATTTTGAAAGATATATGAACCCATTTGTAAAAAGTCAAAATGATTTTTTTTTTTTTTACGATTTAGTATACTTGTTTGTAATTTTTTTTTCTTTAAATTATTCAACATATACGTGAAAGATATATACAATTATATATAAAGTAACAAATAACTTATCTTAATTACAAAATTTAATGAAATATCATAATTATATATACCACGATTGTTACAACACAAATATTTAATTTAAATACAACCTGTCATCTAGCTCAACATTTATCTCATTCTATTTATGCATATGTCTTATGCTCCAATGCTTTGATAAAAATAATTTTAAAACTTGGCTCTGATACCACTTGTCACGACCTGCTTCTCGTATTCAAGAGTTAAGTATCGTGATGGCCAGTAACTGAAGTTAACTACGGCCAATTCTTAAACAAATTACTAAACGCGAGTGGAAAAATATTTAAGTAATGGTACTAAAATAATCATTGAAACTTTTATTTTATAACAAAATTTATTGACTAAAAAGTCGATATTTACATATGAAGAATAGAATTATAAATACTATAAAAGTGCTATGTGTTTCTATTTCGCAGCCCCGCGTCTAAGACTCTCCAAAAGCTATTTTTGAGTTGCATTATTTCGTGAAAATTGGTAAACAGTTATAAGCACATGGCAAAGTAAGAATATCATACTGAGAGTATAATTACTATCGATAAGCTTTAGGCTTAAAATAGATAAAATAGAATATTTTTCTATTAGAGTAAATAAGTTGCTTATATTATAACAGAAATTTGTTTCAAAAATTATATGATATTATACTAAAATATATAACCATAACCACGGCACAGAACAGAACAAAAGTCAATGTATTCATGATTATACCGAGGTACGGATTCAGGAGGTGGTCAGTACAAATTCTAGAGGTGACTCCCACAATAATGTAGCACTTAGCTCCGTACAGTACTTTACTCTATGCAGAACATAGGTTAATAGATCCATGACAACATAGAGTCACTAAAGTGACTAATCAGAGGCCAATGGTTTATTTAAGTCTCTTAAAACATGGGACTCTCGTGGTGGTACTTCCAAAAAATAAGTATTCATAAAATCATTGTCAAATAATTTTTAAAATTTAAATAAACATATCCATAGGTTTCATTTTAATCAAATAAAACTCGGAAAATAATTAATATAATTGAAATATCAATCTAATTTATAAAACACAAGTTACATAAAATAAATTATGATAACTCAAAACATACATAAAATATATTATAATAACTCAAGATATAATATAATTCACTTTAATATTAATTCTAACTTTTACTATTTATACATTGCGATCCACTAAATATTCCAACCTCAATTCCAAGTTTTATATATAAAACAAACCAATTAGAGGGAGAGAGACAGACTAAAGTGTTTGAGGAAAGATGATGAGATTAGTATCTATATGCATTTAGAGATACAGGGGATAAGCGTGGGCCGCAGGACGCGTAGGCAGCACGTTAACTTGGGGCGCACGTATTTTGTTATACTGAAAATGTTATGTTTCAGTATATTTTGATTTAAAAAAAAATATTATAAAAATATCATAATACACAGAAAATAATATTGAATAATACTATAAAGTTAAAATTATTTTTTTAAAATCATTTATAATTAAATAATATTAATATAAAATTTAAAGAACAATTTAAATTTTAGAATTATTACATGGTCAAAACGAAAAAGGGTAAAATATAATTTACCCACAATTAAAATTATAAATTTCTCTATTTTTTTAAATTTTTTTTATAGAAAAGAAGAGATGCGCCTATCTATACTATATACTCTAAAATTTTGATTTATTATGCTATCATGTGTCTATTTTTTTATTTAAAAGTTTTTTAAAAAAAATAGATAGATGAGAAAACTTTAGACTTATATCAAGTGAAGAAAGGCTCTTACTATTTAAGTAACACAATATATATAATAAATATTTAATTTTATTTTTACTTATTTAAATTGTACACATATGGCGTGCTAACCGCTATTAAGGAAGAGATGGCCGGCCACCAATTTTCTTATGCCCAGTAGCGAAGCCACATGGGGACTAAGGGGTCACGTGGCCCCTATAGATTTTTTGTTAATTTTTTTACATATGTATATAAATAAAATTTTAAACAAAAATAATATTTAAAATAAAATATCAAAGGCATTTTTAAATTTATGAAAACAACAGTGATTGTTTTATTAAAAATGAAATGATTACATCAAATTATATTTTTATGTATGAAAATTTTGTGAAAAAATTTCAATATAAAGGTAATATCCATTATTATTGATATGCAAATACAATTAATCTCACTATATATATGTAAAAATTACTAGAGTGGTAATTATATTTGTATACAGAGTTCACCCTTTATATGTTGTTTTACTATTAGTTGGTGATATCATATGTCAATAATGACATGATATCACTATTATATGAAATTTTTACTCAAATTTTGTAAAAATTTGGTTTATCTTACTGTTATATAATTTATTTTACGACTTAAATATATGACTTTTTTACATTATTCATGATACACTAGTTACACGCAATACTTTCTTTTCGATTTTACTCAAAATTAATTATAAAATTTTATATGAAATATTTGTAACAATTTATTTAATTTTTTATACTTAATATTAATTCAAAAATTATTATTATTAGTTATGAAAAAAAAAAATTGTAACTTATTTAATTTCCTGCTCTGCCACTGTTTATGCCATCTTGAAGTACCGTTTACTTTCACACTCAACCATTCCATAATGGTTAAGCATGCAAGAAGATTCAACCTTGGTAAGAGCTCTCTTGTATATATATATATATACACTAGCACACTAGCGGGTGAAGATCAAAATTAATCTCTCTCTCTCTCTCTCTTCGGATTCTGCTATTGCTGAAGAAGACGCTTAATGGAAGAAATTGGAACCAGTTCCTTACCAATTCCTCCTTCCTCTGCTTCTCCTCCGCATCTCGATGAAGATTATCCCAAGGTTCATTACTCTTTCCACTTCTTTCTTTACACTTGGAATTCAAATTCATGGTAGGGGAAGGTTTTGATAAATATTAATATACCCACCAAGTTTATGTGGAAGTCGTGTATCTATGTTGTTGACTTGCATCATACTCTTAACATCAAATGTTTGGCCACACAATTATGAAATTTGTTAAACAAACTTGAATTTCTCTACCAAGCATCAAATGTTTTAGCAGCAGCAAAGCATTAAAAATGACACGTTGCATATACAGGATGTGATGAACAGTATTCACCCTCCAAGGCCAGATTGGTATGAGGAATTATTTGCATTTGTCATGGCTAAGGGCAGTAAAGCATATGAGGCAAAGGTTAGTGCCTTCTTTTTTTTTTTTTCACAATTAGACCAGGGTGTGCAAGTATTGATTTTGCCCCGCGTTCTTGTTACTGCAATTTCAACCATGTGCATATCTAATATGCACCTCTTCTTTGGTAAGGTTGCACATTTTAAGACTCAGATCTTTACAAATTTGAGGGGAACGGATAAGACAGTGTTGGAGCTTGGCATTGGGACAGGTCCTAATCTCAAATATTATGCCAGCGATAACGGTGTTCGTGTTTTTGGCATAGATCCCAACAAAAAGATGGAGAAGTATGCACAGGCAGCTGCAGCAGCTGCTGGCCTACCTCCGGAAAATTTTAAATTCTGGAAAAGAAAATTATATGAAGTAAATGACTGGTTTATATGATCTGAGTCCGTCCTCTTTTCTGGGGGCTGCCCTGCTATTTATACTCGTCAGTGATGACCTTCGAACTGCACTTCGAACCGTCGAACTACTCCTCCATGATCGCTGATCATGCTTCTTTAAAAGTAGCTCCATTACGCCATTACTGGCAGTTGAGCTTCCCTCTTGTACTGGAATTTGAATATGAGTAACCGTTTGAAGATATGTCATCTTGCATCCCATTATTGATCTAGTGTTACTCAGATCATGTGAGGACCAATATTTATTGCCACGTGTACGATCAGGATTAAAGGCTTGAATAACCTTCCTTTATTACCCTTACTCTGCCACGTGTCGAACTGTAACTGGCTTTTACAAAATATGTAGCCAACAGAAGGTGTTCTGCGTTGCTGAAATGTTCATTTCGCTACATATGTGAAATACTGCAATTGAGTTTCCTTTTTGCCCTTGTGTTGCTGAATGATGTTTAATTAGCTCCTAACTTTCCCGATGAGAGATGTAGGTGTTTTTTCTACTTTTACTCATCTCTTCTCCACTTCACTGCTTCATTGATGTTTTCTTAACAGTTCCAATCAGTCAATTATTTCAATGATAGCCTCATGGGTGCTCAAGCTAGATTTGGCATTCTTTAAAAAAGGTTAGAAAATTAAAAAATTATTATCTTATTTAAATCACATCATCTTATTTACGTCACATTATTTTTTTATTACATCACTTCAAACTCAATTTATATTTTATAAAAAGTCAAAAAAATATATTTATTTACAACATTTCAAACAATCTCATAATTATTACTGTTAAAGAAATCAACCTACTTGTTTTATCATGTGGTGACATTTCAGCCTTGTGTGTTTTGTGGGTTTCTTGATGTGACTAGTGTGAAGTTCTAGACTGCATATTAAAGCGTTTGATTTTTTAATTTCGATTCGTTACTCGAGAAAGTGTGATTCGAGAGTGGCTCGATATCAAAACGACGTGATTTTGGTGTCTTTTTTTTTACCTTTTCTTGAAGATGAAGAAGAAGAAGGAATTGGGTCTGCTGCACTGCTGGGTTCAAAAACATCAACAAAAAAAAAAAAAATGTTGATCAACATCAACAAGATTTGGTTTTACAGATCTAGATCACCATCATCTACATCTTCATCAACAAAATTTTTTTTTTCCTTCATCGTCAATCCAAATCAACATCATCAACATCTTCATCAACAAATTTTTTTTTTTTCCTTCATCTTCAGATTTTGAACATCATCATCATCTTCATCATCTTCAACATCATCATCATCTTCATCAACAAAAAAAAATAAAAAAATTCCCTTTCATCCTCAAATCCAAATCTACTGGAAAGGGGACCGCCATCACCGACCAATCAGCGACATCACCGACCGCCATCACCGATCACCATCAACGCCGATCACCGACTGCCTCCTTCTCTCTTCCTCTTCTTTCTTCTCTCTCACCTCCTCTCTTCCTCTTCTTTTCTTTTCTTCTCCTCCTCTTTTCCTCTTTTCTCCTTCTCTCTCTCTCTTTTCTGTCTCTCTATTTGAAAAGCAAGAAAATGAGAATAAAAAAAAAAATCGAAAGGGTTTCGAACCAAATTCGAGCCACCAAATTTCGAGCTACAAATCATTTTTCTTGATTTTTGTACCCCCGCTTCCCCTCCCTCCTATTTAACCTTCTTTTCAACTAATTCTAGTTCCAACTTGAGAAGAATAACTGAATGTCGTAGAAAGCATCCTTGATGAGTTGTGTTCTTAGAGCTCGTAGGTGATGAATCATCATCACAAAAAAATCATTCAGTGTGTTTGATTTCAATTTTTTGAATTTAAGTTTTTTAAAACTGAGTTTTTTATTTGTCGTGTTTTTCTGTTTTTAGTAAATATTTTCAAACTTTTAAGTATTTTTTTTATAATTTTTTTAGATGCATCTTACTTAGATATATTTAAAAAATAAAATATTTGTGAAAAAATATTTTAAAAAATTAATAAATATACAAAAATACGAAAGATATACTGATTTTTTTTTTTTTTTTTAGTGAATTTTTTTAATATTTTTTTCACAAATATTACACTCGAAAGATATACTGAAATTTTTTTTTTTTTGTATTTTTGATATTTAGTGAATTTTTTAAAGATTTTTTTCACAAAAATTATATTTTTTAAGTGTATTTATATTAAGTGCGTCTAAAAATGAAAAAAATTTAGTAAAAAAAAAAATATGAAAAACAAAAAAGTAAAGGCCTTGTTTGGTTTGATTTGGGGAAAAAAAATTGGAAACATACTCTACAAACACTTTTTTAAGAGTAATCAAACCAAACAGATTTTTTCAAAAAAACTTTCAGAAATGTGTTTGGTTATCCAATTTTCAGGATTACTTTTGAAACATGTTTGCAAAAAAGGCAAACCAAACAATTTTTGTAATTTTTATTTCAAAAACTACTCTACAAAAAGGCAAACCAAACAAGTTTTCGTACTTTTTTATCTCAAAAACTACTCTACAAAAAAATCAAAGTTATTTTAGATAGAATATTTGAAAAAAGACAAACCAAACAAATTTTTGTACTTTTTATCTCAAAAACTACTCTACAAAAAAAATCAAAGTTATTTTATAGAGAATATTTTAAAAGAAAACAAAACAAAATAAACAATTTTTTGTACTTTTTTTATCTCAAAAACTACTCTACAAACACAAACCAAACACATCTAAAATTTTTTGAAAAGTATTTTTAGAAAACTTAAACCGAGCAAAGTGATTGTTTTTCACTATAGGAGCATGGAGATTTGAATTGTAGAAATAAAATAAATTACAGGATTTTAAGAGTTTCACAATTTTTGGTAGGAATATGTTAGACGAAGTTCACTAATTGAGTTGTGAAGCTACTACCCTAGTATTGGTGCTTCAGCGAATTTCCTTTTGGGGAGGCATGTTAGTCATATCGTGCTCTTATACTGGATCCAAATTCCAAATTATTGGTTGCTTCCTTGAATTATATATGTTAGTCTAGAAATTTATGTGTCAAGTTAGGAGGTTAAAATTCTCTAGACTTAAACATTGTTGATTTTGTGCAGGTTGGGGAGGTTTTGCCATTAAGTGATGCTTCCGTTGATGTAGTTGTCGGAACGCTTGTACTGTGTTCTGTAAAAGACATTAATATGACACTGAAAGGTATGTACGTTAGGGTGACTTTCACTTTCTTCTCATAGTCTACTTGAGAAATTGAAGTTTAAGCAGATACCTTATCTTCACAGAGGATCAATCTCCGAGTGAAATTCAGTGAACCATAACATTTTCCAGTGAACTACTTTCATATATAATATGACACCAAAATTTCAAGTAGTGAATCAGTTTTCTGTTTTTTGAACTATATTGAGTTTGTCATTAAAACTTCTCCCTTTTCAAGTTTAACCAGAAACTCTGAAGAAGAATGCACACATTGAAGAAATTCAGTTTATGGCTAAAACTTATTGCATGATGGCCCAAAAACTAAAAGAATTGTAATTGGTCAGAACACTTGTGAGTTTGGTAAACTAGTGTGAAAAGAACAAAAATGATTAGGTTTAAGACAAAAGAAAAGATAGGATAGTGGTACTGGTCTGTTTGCTTGTTTGGTTGAGTAGAGATGATGAGAAGATGATAGATTATCCTCTCTTCTTGTATGGGAAAGATAAAGGAGAGAGAGAGAAAACAAAAAAAAAAGCCTTTTTAATGTAAGAAATAAGGGCAAAAATGGCAACTAATTTCTAAAAGAAGTAAGGATGAAATTGGTGACTAACTACTAACTCTTCTCCATTTCTACCCATTTCTCTGTATTATGCCATACAAACAAATGATTTGGAAAGAGAAACTTTGTATTCTTTTATTTTGTCACATTAATGTAATTATTGTTGGACAATCTTCACTGTATTTAAAAGGATTTAATTCTGTTGTGTACAAAACAACAACAAGAATAAAAGAAATAGAGTAAAGGAGAGAATATGTTTGATTACAAAAATCAAACTCGAAATAAAAATAAATAAATAAAAAAAAAAGATTTTATTTTGTTACAAAAAAAAAATTAAAATCTGAAAAAATAAAAAAATAAAAACAACACTGAAAGTAATTAAATAACTTACTTGATTTAATTTCTTCGAATTATTTTTCTGATCAAGTCCAGTGTTTAACACTGTGTCCTTAAGACAGATTCGTCCTCTCCACGGTGCTTTCAGAATTCGGACGTCTATCTCCCAGGATGAAATGATCTACCACAAACAATAGCAGCACTACTAATTGTTTGCCTTACGAACACACTAAGTGTTTACACTCTTTCTTTCGGAAATAATATGCAGCAAGATGAAGAATAGAATTAACAGAGGTGAAATACGAAATTTCTGAATCTGGAAAACATCAAATGAGGGTGGTCCTATTTATAGATGTGAAGGTGGCTCTTGGATTTGAATTGAATAGGTATGTGGCTCTTGGTTTTGAATTGAACAGGTATGATACCTGTTGGGTTTTGAATTCAAACATATAGCAATTACGGGAAGGGCCCTGTTTGGGTGTGCACTAATTCCAAAACAGTTTATTTCTGTTTGAAAACGGGAAGGGCCCTGTTTGGATGAACCAATTTAATTTGAATTTTGGATTTTATTTTAATAAAAAATAAAATTAAATTCAAATGTTTTTGGCCCAAAAAGATTAGAAGCCCAACCCAACCACACACCACACACCCGCGCCCAGGCCCAGCCCGCCCGACCGTACGGCGGCGCGCGTGTGGTGATTTTTGGGTCCAATGGGTCTAGCCCATTTTGTCCATAACCTTTCCCTCTAAAACACTTGGGTACCCCTTGGGGCACACTCCAAGTATCTCACCCTAAGCCTTATAAATCCTTTCAAACCTTCCCACCAAATCAATGTGGGACAAGCCAATTTATAACCTTAAGGAATTTCCACCAAAACTCCATTTTCATGGAGCACACTTTGGCTTCAATTTCCCATTCACTCGGTAATGGTTTTGAGCAACCAAATATACCACGTGAATCACAACGCGGCATAGAACGCGTTACCACTTTGACCCGAGTAAATCAACACTCGGGGCCCACTTAAAAAATAGACCGAACTTAGGAAAAAATTCTGGTTTTATCCAGAATTTTATAACCATTTCCAACAATTATGCCCTTTTCATTTATGCAACATAGGCACAAATCCATCCATAGAATTGGAATCAACAAAAAAACTAGACACAGCAAATGAACATACCCTCTAAAATGTCATCTTTCGTGTATACTTTGAAATTTACCCATCCCAAAAGTTATGTGAAACGTAATCTAATAATTTTCAATCCAATAGGCTTCAAAATGCCCCTCTATAGGTTAGTTATGTGGCCATTTAACTTCGAAGGACTAAAATTTGATTGCAAGTGCCCAAACTCAAATGTAGTATGAGCTACTTTTTCCTATTTATTTGGATATGATTTATGAATGTAGCGAAATTTCAAGATCCATCAAGCCATTTTATAATTAATATACTATTGTATTCACAGAGGTGATGAGGGTGCTTAAACCGGGTGGTCTTTTCTTATTTGTGGAGCATGTGGCTGCAGAAGGTGTGGAGCTAATTATCTTAATTCATATGGTAGAAGTAAAAATCTTGTAGTTCTATATTTCAATTTGAAACTCTCCGTCACCGTTGCCCCACTTTGCTGAGTTGGTTCATTTTTAAAGTTTTCTTTTTCTTTCTCTTTCTCTTGGTTTTGGTTGGATAGATGGTACGATTCTCAGATTTGCACAGGGCATTCTTGATCCTCTTCAGCAGATAGTCTCTGATGGGTGTCACCTTACAAGAAAAATGGAGAAGTGTATATCTGAAGCAGGGTTTTCTACCGTCCACATAAACACGACTTTCGTGTCTATTGCTTGTATTCTAGGCCCTCACGTTTACGGAATTGCTTTCAAGTAGAATAAAATGACAAAAATGGTGTAATTCATAGTAACCCTCTAGTTTGGTGATGCTGAACATAAATTGCGGCATTCGATTGTCAGTTCAAGAGAATGTGCTGATGCATGTACTAATGCAATCACTAAATAAATGGCGTATTTCATTTAGTATTTGTCAGTGTATTGCTTCCATTCAGTATTTGTCAGTGTATTGGCATTTAGTATTTTATTTTTGTTGGTCAAGATTGGACTTTTTTTTTTTGCCTTGCATGAGGAAAGTTCATCCCTTACCAGGCTCATTGCCAAGTATTTTCATGCAATGCACTTATAATGATCTGAATTACACAATAATCATGTGGGCTCGCTTATATGTGATTTATGATTTGAGGTTTGTTGGGTATGTTGATGATGTGATTGAGAGTTTTAGGAACTTAGGCCATGTTTGATTGATTGATTTGGTTGGGTAGAATTTACGAGTATAATGAATTGAGTAATGGAATTACTAGAGTGGTGGCTATATGATAGAGATGTAAGATAAAATATATTTGTTTGTACATTAATGTGATGATATTAGTTTGTTAGGATTAAATCTATGCCATTATGTAAAAACATTCAGTTATACAAAAAATGGATTTCATATTTTTCAAGCATGTATGGTGGTTAGATCAGTGGTTGAAGGAGTAATGGGATGAATTATAAATGTAGACATTTTTTATTCACCTCTCAGTGGTTTGAGTGAGTCAAGCAATGAACTGTAAATACGAATATCTTATGTGCACCTTTCATTACCAACAAAACATGGATTTATTTGTATGACCATCTTGCATTGGCTGCACACAATTTAATGGGTAGCTTTTGGTCTTTTTCAGTGTCTCATGTTTATCGAGAGGGTAATTCTATAACTCATTGTTTGAGCAGATTAGCATTTGATGGCACTGGTATGTAAGTTTGATGGATGTTCCATTTTCGCTTCAGTCATTAATTTTATCTGGTGTAACTGATGCTGCTTCTCCGTTTATTAAAAAAAAAAAAAAAATTGTAAATGGATACTAAAAACCATTATGATATTTAAGTAGTGATTGAGACCCTTATCTTTCCTCACAAATTTGGATCACTCATGATGTGGATCTCACACATACATGAGTGGACTCCACACATATATGGAGAGTCATGATCACTTTAAGGGTGTGGGGGTCATCTCCAAAAGGGTTTCCAAACATTTCCCATGATATTTTATGTGCAATCTCCCTTACAAGTTCACAAATATTGTGAATTTAAGCATGGGGTGGAGCATTAAAAAAAAGTGTGAATTAAAGGTTTCAATTTCAAACAAGGCTATGAATAAGAGAATGTTAGATAATGCAATCCAACACTTAAAAAGACATATTTCATGGTTTTGTAATTAAGTGATATTGTTTAAAGAATAAAGTTTCCAAATTTAAGATGTGCAAAAAATATCAATTAATGTCTAAAATGTTTATAAAAATGAGGCTTGAATATTCAAAAAGATGGAGGAAGGGAGGGAGCTGTTGAGCAATAATGGCAGATTTTTTTTTGGTGATTAACAACAATGGCAAGTTATGAAAACAAAAAGAATATTTTGTCAATATTGAACAGTGTAAGCAGTAAACTTAAAACAAAGTATCATGAGTTTTAATTTATATTTTTGTTGTGACAATTGATAGAAATTTAATATAACAAAAACCTTGTATAATTGGAAAATTATTAATTATATTTGAAGTAATGTATTATTAATTATATTTGAAGCAATGTTCGTATTATTTATTAATTGATACATTTCATGTTATCTTTTAAAACACCGATAAAAAAGTGATGGATCTTATCATCATCTAAGTCAATAATTTCAAATTAGAGCATCATATATAATTAATTGAGGAACACAAGATAATTTCTTCTTATAATGAAAAACAAATTAATCTTTGTCTTTGCAATAATTGATCATTGACCTCCGAAACGAAAGCACAGAGAAATAAAAAGTACGGGTATAAACAAGAATAGAACAAACATGAGGGGTATGGATGCAAAAATTCCATATAGAGAATCGCGCTCTCCCCGACATATTAGGGTTTCCGCAACGCAACCACGCACGCAGACATTTCTTCCTCTTCCAATTGCGTCTCTGTTCTGTTGCTTCTTCTCCGGCACAGTTGTTTACTCCCCCATCCTTATCGTAAGCTCACTCTCACTCTACTTTGATTCAATTTCTTTTTCTCTCTCTGTATTTCTATGAACTCCCAGTTTTGGGGCTTTCGTATTTGTTCTTTGTTTGAATTTCGTTTTCTCTTTTTTCCTTATTTTGTTCTTTGTGTTTAGAGTGTTAGATTTTGAGTTGTGTAATATAGAAATAAATTGATGATTGAATGAAACCAAAAATCTATTCTTTAGCATTTTATTGTTTTCGTTGTTGTTGTTGAGATTGATGATCAGTTCTCTTTTAGCATCCGAAGTTGTTATTAAGGGTGTTACAATTTTGGTTTGTTGCAGAATTAAAATTAAAATTCTTTTGATTGAAAAGTTCTCGACTTTCCGTTGTGGTTTTTTGGTACTTTTATAGGGCCAATGTGGTTGGGTTCTCTTTTAGTTCCCTAATATTCAGTTTACCTTGACTTTTCGTTTTCTTTTTTTTTGTGCGTTTGTTATTCTATATATATATATATATATATATATGAAAATGAGGGGTGACCATTGGTTCAAGCTAAAACCTTGCCCTAATAATGTTGAGGTTATAGATTCAAGTCTCAACTATGCCAAAAGTTAGGGGCGTACCCGATCTTTTCTCTCCCAAACACATATTAATGTGTACCAATTGGACGTTTCTATATATGTGAACATTTATATTTTGATAAGTTATTCTATATATATGTATTTATATAAATATTCTAATTTAATGGGATATGAAAAGAAAGAAGTAGTCTTTATTGTCTCAGTGGCTAAGGATAGTATTACAGAGTCGTTTCACCCATGTTTGTGTTGGGTCCGTGTTGCTTTGTAATGGAATTTGTGCTAACGAAATTTGTGTCTAAACTTGTTTTATCTTCTTTTGCAGCTAGTGTATCTGCCGGAGAGTTTTAAACAAGGTTTTTTGATTCCTAGAAACTAATCAGCTTTTTGGAAGATTTTGTATCTTGTTTGCTGGTGAGGAGTAATAGTTTACTGCATTGGAACAGGGAGGTGTCTGTTTGAGGTTGTGCTGTCTTTGCCATAATATAAAAGTTTCATCATTAGCGGGGCATTTTCTAGAATTCAAAAATGATGAAACTTGGTTTTATTGATTACCAAGTTCTTGCTTAGATGGTATATGTGGTGAATTTAATTAGTGATGTGGTGTAAGCAGATGTTATAACCAGAATGTTGTTGTTTGAGAGAACTAAGTGATTCTTTGGTTGGCTGTCGACAAGCTGCGGGAAGTTTGTAGAAGCAAGCGGAATAAGTTTTGGTGAGTTTTACAAAACATAGCTAAGACGGGGTCCCTTTGTTGTGTGGCTGCAAGGCCACATGGTTCTAATGCCGCCAGCAGGGAGTGGTCCATGGGTCCAAATGAGCCCTACTGGCGAACTAATACAAGCTTCTCACCTCCGCCGTCGAGATGGGATTTCCGGGTCCAACCTGAAGGGCTATCATTTGGTTCTCATGACGGTATTCAATTGTATGGTTCTTCTACATCATCAAACAGTAGAGGAAGTAGGAGTTGGGTGAGAGGAAACCATGTTTCCAATCATCAATATTCAACATCTGATGGTGTTGGGCCATACTTTAGTAGTCCATCTGAGATCTCTCCAGCCCGACAGTGGACACCTCCAACAATACAAGAAATCAGAGTGGATGATTATGCAACTTCATCAAGGAGAGGTAACATGAATCAGCTATCATCACTTTTAACATCTCTAATAGTGAGACAGTCATGAATTTGTTCTCACTGGAAGTTGTTTAATAATTATCTTTTTGTTTCTGAGTGTGACACTATGTGGAAATTTGAACTGCGTTAAGGGGTAGTTTTAATTTCAAATTGTTCTTGGTCTTAAAAACTATGTGCATTATTTTGACCCTACTTGATTGCATTTGTTGTTAACTACTTGTATCATGTATTTAGGCTTTGTGTTATATTAAAATAGTGTACTGGTTCCTTACTATATCCTCTTTTTTTTACTTTAAAAAAAAATTCTAAATAGGTTGGACTGAATTACAAATTGGATTGATTAAATGTATGTGTCTGCATATGTTGTGTGCATGTGTGTCTCTTTCTAAACGAGTTTGTTTTTACTGTTTTCTTAAAATCTCTTTTGCCAGATAAGATGATGAGATACGACGATGTAATGATATATCTGCTAACTTTTTGTTCATTGGAGTCACATCACATCAGAAATCAATCAATCATAAATATGCATTAGCAGACATTTTATTATTTAATAGGTTACTTATCAAAAAATGTTATTGTTTAATAAGTTGTGGTAGAGTAGTTGTAACAACGATAAGAATTGATAGGTCGATGTTGGACTTTCTAGTTATTCCCATAAAGATCATTTTAAAATTATTGTAGACTATGCTCTTTTGAGTTGATGTGTAGACCTTGTTTTAATAATCAACGTGATCAGTTGCTCTAATATGAATGGAGCAGGCAGGACTTGCATGATTTCTCTCTCGAAAAGCAGTAGAGTGATTGGAGTCACATCACATCAGAAATCAATCAATCATAAATATGCATTAGCAGACATTTTATTATTTAATAGGTTACTTATCAAAATATGTTATTGTTTAATAAGTTGTGGTAGAGTAGTTGTAACAACAATAGGAATTGACAGGTTGATGTCGGACTTTCTAGTTATTCCCATAAAGATCATTTTAAAATTATTGTAGATTGTGCTCCTTTGAGTTGATGTGCAGACCTTGTTTTAATAATCAACGTGATCAGTTGCTCTAATATGAATGGAGCAAGCATGACTTGCATGATTTCTCTCTCTAAAAGCAGTAGAGTGATTGTTAAACATATTACCTTCATACTGTGTTTTTCCTGTCTTGTGGCTTAAGCATACGTTCCACTGTTCTTGTGGGCTGTTGTATAAATTTACATCAATTTTAAAATTTGTTTTGGGTTTATGTTGCCTTTTGGAATGGATCACTCTCTCTCACACACTTTTTTTTGAACTTCAACTTTGGTCTGATCTAGTGATTTGCTAAACTAATTTTTGGATGTTGGTCACCATTAAACAAGTATATGAATTTGTACTCAGAAACATGTGAAGCCTGAGTACTCTGAAAATAATTCCGTACAAGTCCCGCATACGCAAAACACGTGTTCGGTACTTAGGGTTATTTTTTTGGCCATTACAAAGAACTATATCACCTTCTGGTAACTCTTTTCTTTTCCAACTCTCTGGCATTACACTATCCACATGGACCTTAGTTTTAGTTTTGGCATTAAACTTTGATTTGTAATCTGGCTGAACTAATTTTGGCATTAAACTCTAGTTTGTACGTGAGGTTTTGCCATATCAGCGTACCCGTAACATACTCACACTTTCATCCGTACTAGGTTTTGCCATAATGCCATCTGTAACATACTCGCACCTTCATCTGTACCCGTACCTCTTATTTCTAGTTAGAAACTGAAGGAATTTGTGGATTAAAAAGAAAAAACAGCTAATCTGTTCCCTCTCCAGTTGCAAGTACAGTTACCATTTTAAAGCCAAGAGGATTGCCAAGCATTTCAGTCATTTTATGATTATTATGTAGATACCTCATTTGATTGATTCAATATATACTTTTAATGGCTTTTTTCTAGCTCTAATATCTGCTATAGTTTTTATTTGCACTTTTTACTTCGTGGGTCAACTTCAAGTTGCTTGTAATAGATAGGGAAACATAGGGGATGCTTGGTGCCTTTACTTGCACTGCTTAAGGGCTCAATGGAAATCTGTGGGGCGTTGAACTCGTAGCGCTGGAATTTCTGCAGGTTCTCTGTAGGATGCCAAACAATTGTGCCATAAAATTAATTATTCATTGGTGTCATAGTACAGGCCTGTGACATGGATCCTGGTTGTTGATGTCTCTTCAACCTTCCACTACCCACAAGCCTGCCTCCAAATGGCATGACAATTTTACTCTGACTCTCACTTCATTGATATATCTGCATGGCATTGCAGATCAGAAACGTACACATAAATGTACATTGTTGATGTATGCATGTTCTTTTAATCAGTTGTGTTACTTGTGTGTTTGCTAGATTCTTAATATGTAAATGTTTGGGGTTGCTCTTGTATTAATGAGTTTTTCCTAATTGTTTTTTTTCATGAATTGTTTATTTTTCGCTATGTATAGATAACTGGTAGGCTGTAGTATAAATTTACATCATCTTCTTAAAAATGGTTTTGGGTTTATGTTGCCTTTTGGAAGCGGTCTCTCTGTCACATGCTTGTTTTTTTGAACTTCAATTTTGGGTTGATTTGGTGGGTTTAGAACTAGAACTAATTTTTGAAGTTGGTCACCATCAAACAAGTGTATGAATTTGTTCTTAGAAACTGAAGGTATTTGTGGATTCTTTTTGTAAAACAGTTAATCTGTTCTCCTTCCAGTAGTAGCCTAGGAGGTAACAGTTAACATTTTAAAGCCAGAAGGATTGCCAAGCATTTCAGTCACTTTAAGATTATTATTATGTTGATTCCACATTTCATTGATTCAATATCTACTTTCAATGCCTTTTTTCTAGCTCAAATATCTGCTATAGTTTTTATTTGCATTGTTTACTTCATCGGTCAACTTCAAGTTGCTTGTAATAGCCCTTTTAACGTAAGGGATGCTTGGTGTCTTCACTTGCACTGCTTTAGGGCTCAATGGAAATCGGTGGGGCTTTGAACTTGTAGCTCTGGAATTCCTGCAGGTTCTCTGTAGGATGCCAAACCATTGTGGCCTAAAATTAATTCTTTGATGGTGTCATAGTACAGGCTTGTGCTATGGATCTTGGTTGTTGATATCTCTTTCAACCTTCCACTACCTACAAGCCTGCCTCCAAATGCCATGACATTTTTACCTTTACACCCCTGTCATTCATATATCTGCATGGCATTGCAGATCAGTAACATACACATAAATGTACATCGTTGATGTATGCATGTTATTCTTTTAATTATTTGTGTTACTTGTGTATGTTAGATTCTTTAATACCCTTATATTCGGGGCTGCTCCTTAGTGGCAGGAATCGTTGAAGGGACTCACGTTTTTGAGGAAGAAGCGCGATTTTGCGCTTCTAAGGAAGAATCGCATAAGAATCACGCTTCTAATGCGAGAGAATCGCTATTAGGGTTGAGACTAGGGCTTCAATCGTCTTCGTCCGTCTCTTCTCTCACTGTCAATCTCGATTATCTTCGTCTCTTAGGCGTTTGATCGTCTTTGTTACTCTCTTCTCTCACTGTCGATCTCGATTGTCTTCGTTTCTCTCTCTCTCTCTCTCTCCTCTCACTCGCAATCTCCTCTTCATCTCTGTTTGCTTCTCTCTCTCAATCTACTCTCTGTTTTCTCTCTCTCTCTCTCTCTCCCTCTCCGTTTTCATATTTGTTTTATATAATATAATTTATCATGAACAATATAATTTTTATGTTTAAAATAAAAAATTATTTATTTTATCATTTATAATATAATTTTTATTTGTTATTTCTTTTTTATTTTTTTAACAGAATTTATTATTTCTTAACTTTTTAACATATAATAAATAAAATGAATCATCTAATTGTTTAAAATAAATCTATTTAAATCATATATAATAAAAAAATCTTTAAAAAAATTATAAAATAAAACATCTAATTTTTATTTATTTTTATTTATTTTAACATAATTTATTATTCCTTATTTAATTATAATAAATAAAAAATAATTAATAAAAGTAATACATAAGCGCTCTTAATCTACGACTCCTCTAAGTGGCCACGTTTCCCCACTCCCGTTTTGTGCAACTAAGGGCTGATTTATTATTGAGTTTCTCTAATTTTTTTCATGAATTGTGTTTTTTTCGCATTGTATGAAAAATTTTGTGCATGAAACAGCATCTTACGTGCTCATATACAATAATGGTTGTTTTATGTTAGACATTTTGTTATTTTCATCATGACTTCATTAGCCATTTCTGGAAGATGTATCTTTTTTGTATTTATTTTAAGTTATGTTTGATTGCTTTTCTCAATTTGTTTGGTCTTATTTGTATCTAACATCATATCCTAGTTCTAGTTTGCTCTTTTTCTGTGAGAGCTCTGAATTTGTACTTCTGAGAATGTGTAGGGTTTTATGTTGGATCCATCCTTTCATATTAAAATCGATTCATCTGTGGTGTCACAGCACAATGCTCTTTAATTGCTGATATTTAATAAAGACCATCTGCCCCCCAATCCGTTTTCTTCATGCATTGCACCAAATGCTATGATATTTCCTCTTATGTTGATTTTCATTAAGCTTGCACATTGTATTGATGCATGCAAATGCTGGTTATTTGTGTTCGTTTTTTTTTAATTTAAGTAAAAGGTTTTTTTTTGTGTTCATTTTAAATTTGAAAAAATGCTACTTATATGATGTTCCTTTTAGGTTGGGTTGGAGGTTATTGAGGTCACTTGTAGAGTCAAACGCTTGACTTCTCATGCATACCAACCTCTAACCCAAGCTTGCCTGAATGGAGCATGGTTTTGATTGATTTATGCTTGGACTGGCTTCTAGCCTTAAAATCTAAAAAATGTGAAAGAAATTGAGGCATTTAATTCCCCAAATCGGAAAGCTGGAAAATTGATGAATGAAAAAGACAATATTTATGTCTACAACAAAATTGTTTTAGACCAATTAAATACAGAGAATATTATCTCCTTTCCTTTTTTTTTTTTAATTTTAAAAGATCAAGTGTTAAAATAACCCCCTTTTTTTTCCCTCTTCACAACTATATGATGACACAACAATAAAGAGTGAAAAAACAGACAGACATGGTCAGCTGCAGATCTTGTCATGGATCTGGATGATGAAATGACAGGGAAAGTGAAGAGGAGGGAGTGGAATAACTCTAATTTACAACCTAGCAATATTATTTTTAGTATACAATTTGCAAACAGAGAAAGCTAGTTTCTGGGATATCATGTTGTGTGGGTAGCTGTGTGTACAGTTCGGAAGGCTGAGAGGAGTTAGTAAAGCAGAAACTGGCTTTATTAGGGTTTTATTTTTCTTGGAAGTAAGGATGAGCAGTAGCTGACAAATTTTACTTATTAGTTTTTGTATTTATATAATGCCTTCACACTATTTTTGAACATAAAGTTGCTCTTTATTGTATAATTGGACCTAAAAAATAAAAAAATAAAAAGTCTTGCATGCGTGAAACTTAATTTTGTTATGTGAATAGTAGACATAATATATTGTTCAAGAAGCTTTTGTTCATAATTTCTGTGTGTGTTGAAACTTGAAAGGAGTAATGAAAAAAAAAAAAGTTCAAAATTGCATTTGATATTAATTGCATATGCTGATATTTTTTTCCTCTACCCTTGGTAGTTGCAGTTTTGGGGCCATTGTCCTTTTCACCAACTATGGAGGTACTTTGTTTTCATATTTGCTTTTGTATTTAGTTGAGTATTTTACTGGGCTTCAAGTTCCTTACTGTTTCAAAAATACTACAGGGAACATCCACGGTTCAAGATAGCAGGGGCTCTACTTCTTCTCGATCAGACAGTAGTGATTATGAGCCAATGGCCAGGTCACACTTGTCCTCTCACCGCAACTTCTCAAGTCGCCGCTGCTTCATGTCCAAACCTATTCATCCCCTCTCCTTCCCGTCAGAAGCACCTACAAGAGAAGCTGCTGACACCACAGCCACCGGCTTTTCAGAGTTCGACACTGCTACGCCACGTAGAGAGATGCATCGTTTGAGCAGTGCTAGTGGCAGTATTGATTTTACGGATGTGGCCGAGCCATTGGAATCCGATTCTTTTGGTCGATCATGTAATCCACCAGACAGTTTTAAATGCGGATTATGTGAGAGGTTTCTTTCACAGAGATCACCGTGGAGTTCTCGTCGAATTGTGAAAAGCGGAGACATGCCTGTTGCTGGAGTTCTTTCATGTCGCCATGTTTTCCATGCTGAATGCTTGGAGCAAACGACACCAAAGATGCGCAAAAATGACCCACCTTGTCCTCTCTGTGTGAGATCTGAAGATGAAAATTCTCCCGAGCAGCGGGTTTTTTCCAAGCTGAGGAATGGTTTCCCAAAGCTTCGAACTTTCAGTGAGGATGGACCATCAAGGCCCTGGGGCTGCTCACAGGCAGGTGATTGTGTTGAAGGGGCTTTGCATGCTCCTCCTCGCAACACAATGTTGTTACTCAACCGGAACCGAGTTAGAAAGAATTTTCCATCAAAGGGTAATCCAAACAAGGAATTTCCTGGAAAGTTGAGGAAAATTGGATCGTATTCTTCACCGCTGTTGATTGGAAGGTCTGTAGAGCAGGGAGCAGTTGGATCATCAAAGACCACCCCAGGTACTACTAGTATGAAATTATGAAGAATATGTATATATAGTTTGGAGACTGGAATTTTTTATTGCGAGGGCATAGTGGTCTGTCTGGTCTTTGAAATTGTCTATTTTATTTGCGAGTTTTGGTTTAAGTTGGTGGGTGGGGTATTTGATGGAAATTAGATGGGATGGTTTTTAGGGCATGTTGTGTTAGGCTTTAAATTTAGCAGGAAATCTAGGGTTGAATTTACTGCCATGTTGACAACTGGGTATTTTGCAATTTTCTTGTGTCTATTTGTTTTTGTTTTTGATGCAAAATGAAGTCTTGTAAAATTTTAATCTCAGCGCTGGAATTTGTTATACCCTTCCACTGCTCATTGCAAAGAGATAGGTTTTTTAGTGTACTTTTTTAGTTTGTGTTTGGATCATAGCTTTTAGTAGAGATTTGGGAAAGGAAAGGGAAAATGTGAGACAAAAGTAAACAAAATATAAGTTAAATTTTTTTCTCTCCCCTAATCCTTATTCAAATCTAGGATGTAAATTCTAAACATTAGGGAAATGATACTCCAAGAATTTGAGCTAATTTGGAAAGATGGTTAAAAGTTAAATTTAATCTATTTTGGGTCATGTTATCTCTTTATTTTTTTACACTTTTTTTTTTTAATTTTTTTTTTAAAAAAAGGTCAGATAGTTAATTTTTAACCAACTTTTCAAAATAATCATATTTACATAAAAAAATCAAACTTTACCACGTCCTGTGTAGATTTTGTAAAAATTTTGGTATTATTGTCTTTTTCTTTTGTTTAATATAGTAGTTTTGTTTTTGCTAATCAGGTGAAGATAATTGACAAATTTTAGGAGATTTATATGCAAAATGATTTATGGATGCAAAAATTGTATGAAAAAATATATTTATAATCGCGTATAATGATTTTTTTGAAATTATAAGAATAAGTGTAAATATTTTAATTAGAAATAAAAGTTTACAGGAAGTCAAATTGATGATGTTTTGAAATTATAAGAATAAGTGTAAGTATTTTAATTAGAAATAAAAGTTCACAAGAAGTCAAATCATTTAGTAGAGAAATTTTATCGAAAAGTTTTGTTTGTTGTATATATAATAAAGTTTAATAGCAATTATCATACTCGAAAAACAAAATTAATAAACATGAAGATAAAACCGATCTCATAAAATAAAACAATTCATGATTGTACATATCAAATGATGAGACCCCTCATAGAAGATACAGTTTCACTTAGATTGCTCGACATGTATTTTAGGTGATTAATTTTGTAACACAAATTACACAAGAAAACTTGCAAATAACTTTACAAAAAGACTCATACATGAGCAAGAAGAGTTCAATATTGACAACGTATTCCTTTAACCTCCTAATAACGTAGAAATACCAATAAACACATCAGTAAAGATATTTGCATATTATCTATATTATGAAATTACGTAATATATAGTTAAAATTCAACTCTTAAATAATAAAATTTACATGTAAAATAAATTTAGACTATACATTGATGCTTTGTCACCTACCAGTTGGGCTGTTGGGTGGTGGCACACCAATGTACTTGTGAAGTAATGGCAAAGTAAATGAACAAGCTACCCCCTACTGTGACACCCCCCTGCCCTTCAAAGCCCCTTCTCTGCTATTTCCTTCAAAATATGAGCTGTACACTTAGTACACATCACACATCAAATTTCAATTATGAAGTTTGGGTGCATTATTGGTTCCCACATTTAAACAAATGAGGGTACACAGTATATGGCATATGAAATATATGTTTCAATGAAGGGTTTGCATCACTGCTCACCTATCTAATTATCAAGTAATCATTATTTTCTGTGTACATCTTGAACTGATCACAGAGTTAATCATATAAAATAGGACAAATTACGCTAATAGTCCCTATAGTTTGAGACTTGTGTTACTTTAGTCTCTGACTTTTCAATTATGACACATTTGACCCTGAATTTTGAATCTTGTTTCAAATAAGGACAAATGAACATACCATTGCTTAACTTCAAGGGCAAAATCGTCAATTTGATAAAATATAAATTAATTTGACAAAAATAAACGTCAAAAAAATATTTTAAAAATTATTTCTATCCACCAAAAATATAATTATGTAAAATTGATAAAAATAAATAAAAATTACGTGATTTATTTTTAAAAATTAATTTACATGATCATCATTCAAATACATAATAAAAATTAATTTGGTAAAATAAATAAATGTCTAAAAGATTTATCAATTTTATATAATTTTATCTTTAGTAGCTAGAAATAATTTTTTAAAAATTCAAAAATAATTTTTTGATATTTATTTTTGTCAAATTAATTTATATTTTATCAAATTGACAATTATACGCTTGAAAAATCCAATAGTATCTAAAATTGTTCTTATTTGGAACAAGATTCAAAATTCAGAGTCAAATGTGTCACAATTAAAAAATCAATGACCAAAATGACACAAGTTCCAAACTATAAGTACCATTAGCGTAATGTAACCTATAAAATAATTTTGATCACATGGTTGGATTCATTATAAAAATAATAATTTTCAGATTGCTTTACTTGTATTTCCTGTGATTGTTTGTGTCCTTAGACTAATTGCAATGGGCTGGACTTGTCTGTAGTTTAGGTCAAGTCCAAGCTAGGTTTGTAGACCACCATCGGCGATATTTTGATCGTCTAATTCGATGAATTTTTAAAGATCATTCATTAAAAAAAATTATTTAATTGATATGATAATTGTAGTCACAAATTTTTTTAAAATTTGTCTTATTTCATTTTTTTAAGACATGGCTATACTCATGAAATCAATCTAATTTCTGAATAATTTATACAAAAAAAAATTTAAATAAAAAAAATTAACAAAATAAATCACCAAAATGGGACAAATGTTGGGTCCACAGTCCCAGACTGGGCCGTCCAGGGTTCTATTGAAACTATCAAATCGGAAAAGCCCATGGCCCATTTTCCAAGCAAGTCCAAAGAAATTTTAATTTACTTATTACTAAGGGTGTAACTTGGGCGGGCTCAACCCGAGCAATCCGAACTCAGTTTGAATTTTTTTAGGATTTAGATAAGATATTTTTAAATTCGGTACGGGTTCGGGCAAAAATTCAGAAGCTTGAATTAAATTTGGACGGATTTGGACAAAGATATCAAACAACCTGAGCAATCTGAAATCCAAATTATACATATATAAATATATAAAAATATTAAATATATATATACAAATTATTAGTCATTACATGATATTAAAGTAATTTAGATTATTAAATCATATTGAATATATATTATATATACAAATAATATAAAATCTTACTTTTTTTTTTATTTTCACTCATAAATTATAAAGACTACTATAGTGCCATCTCTCTTACATTATAAAAATTATTTGTTTTGATAGTATTAATGATTTTCTATATATATAAAAACAAATGGAAATAGATTCAAATTTTAATAATTTAATAATGTAACTGGAAAAAAAAAATATACAATTCGGGTTTAACTCAGGTCGGGCTTGGGTGGGCCTAGACAGATTTCAGCACAACTTTGATTGGGTTTGAACAACCTCCCAACCCGACCGAACTTGCCCGAGTTGCACCCCTACTTATTACCATATGTATTTGGGTATATTACACTCACCCCTCTCTCTCTCTCTCTCTCCCCCTCCCTCCTCCCTAAGATTTAAGTAAAATATAAGTAATCTTATACATTTGACATAATTACACTAGCTATTTTTTAGTAAGTTTAAAAGTAACTGAAAGTAATGCAGATGATAAGTAGATATTGAAATAAACAAGTATAAATATATGCATTGTAGCATAATAAAGATCATTACATCATTTTTTTTATTTATATGACTAATGAATTATTAAAAAAAAAGATCTAATTGTTATATGAATTAAAATATTAAATGAGAACAATGTAATTATATTAAAATATAGGACAAACTCCATTTTTTTAAACATGAACGCTGTGTTTGGTTGGAGGATTTGATGAGAGATTTGAAAAGGGAAAGGGAAAAGTTAGGTGAAATGTGAATAAAATATACTTACATTTCACCTAGTTTCACATCCCTTTTCCTTTTCCCTTTCCAAATTTCTCTCCAAATCTCTCAACCAAACACAGCATAAGGAAGGTGGGTGTAATTTACACTACGTGTACTTCGTAGGGCTGTGAAATTGGGGACCATACTCTGTTGCTCACATATCATGTGTAGTGTTTGCATTAGGCAAAAGCAATTACACATTGTACCCTTGCAACAGTGACACAATTTGGATCCTCCTATGGTTGCCCTATTGTTTACTAGCCCTCCCCAAATCACAATTTGTTTGTCCCATTTGGATTGTGACAATGTTTTCTCACCATTCACTCTCCTTGTTCTATCTCTTGTCATTTTCATAAAAAAATTGCCTTAATTACCAAGAAAATTTCATCGTCCTAAATTAAATTCGCAAAAAAGACACCTTAATAGCGCGACATCACCAAGTTTTGTAGTAATTTGATCTCAACTATATTCTTAAGGATAATCAACAAAAACATTTCAAAATGCTACCCAAAAATTTAAAAAACAAAAATCACAGATATTGTGAAACATTCTTGGTGGACAAATGGGAGGAAAAGCTCAATCATTTGAAAAGAATTCACTCATTGCTTTTATCAATTTGATGGCCCATTTGTTGAGATTGCTTTATTTAGTCAACTTTGCTTCATGATTTAACTATGTGTGCTCGTGATTTTTTTTTTTTTTTTTTTTTTTTAAATTTGATTATTTGTTTTGTATACAAAGGCCATGTTTGGCATGTTAATTTCAAAATCTCTTTTATGGGGCACTTGTACCCTGTACATTTGAGGGTTCACAAGTTTTTCATATTCAAGATATTTGTATTTCATGTACGAAAGTGCTTTTCATCCGGTTCTTATTTACAAAGTGATTTTATTTTGAGCAACGCTACGATAAAGCAACTTCAAAATTTTGAAAATCTATTTGTTTGTATTTTCAAAAACAAAATCTTAAAATTTTTTAAAACACTCATCATTTTTGTATTGTTTTTATTTTTATGAGCAAAAGATTTTTGAAAATTACAAAACGATATTTTAGTATTTCTTAAAAAGGATTACTTTTACAAAAAAAATAATAATAATGATAATAATAATTTAAAAATAATTTGACAAACAAATTTTCTGTGTTTTTTGCAAAACAAAAACAAAAAACACAACACTATAATGGTTCAAATATAGTTAAACAAAATGGGAACCCAACTCATAGTTAATTTTTTTTGTACTCAATATTCCCAAATTGTGGCACCCTTGCAAATTAAATATATATATATATTTTATAATGTAATTGGAAGCTGTCTTTAAAATGAAAATTGAGTGTGTACTATGGTAAAATTTTGTGGGCTGTATCTCTCAAGTACCTAACCATGTGCTCTCCATGTGAAGGTGGTTCCCCACATTACCTTTTCTTCATACAACAATATGGGAAAACACCCAATTAGGATAAAGAAGAAAAAAGAAAATTTTTAAAAAAATCTTTCTTAATTTTATTAATAATGACATGACAGACAGATTATTATATTATGTGTTAATTTTTTTTATTTAATATGAACTTACTTATGTAAGACTCAAATCTACAATCATATTATCGTGGTTGTAGGTAAATTTAAAATTTAAAATTATGAATTTTTAACATTTTTGTGGAATAAATTTCTAAAAGAGATGAAACATTTTGGGCCTCACATGTGTGGTTGTTCCCAAACAAGAATCATATCTCTAGCAACCTAAAATTTTCCTACCCTATTTGCCCAGTTGGTGTGATATGTCTTGAGCATCCATAGAATGGAATACACTTGGACATGAGAAGTGCTAATTAGGTAGTTGGCAATGGGATATTGCTTTTATTTGGTGCCTCATACCTCATGGCCTTGTCACTTGGGCATATATCTACACGTTATATCTCTTTCATATATTATGGGGATATTTATGTAATTCCATTTTCTTATCTCTCTCTCTCTCTCTCTCTCATACCCATGTCATGCTTATAAATCTCAAAGAAAAAAAAAAATAAAAAAAAAATAGGAAGTAAAACTATTTTGCCTTTTCTTAGTGTTTCATGTTAAATTGTATGACCAGAGAGAGTTTGTAGACAGATTTAGTTATTGAACTATTCTTTTCTTTTCCTTATAGATTAAACACTCCATAAATGGAGTAAATGGATTCTTTATTTCTTGTCTCAAATTTTCTTTCCGTCACATGATCAAGTCTCTATTTTTTTGATCTAATTATGTGATAAATGACATGTAATAAAGAAAATTTAGACATAATAGAAAGAAGATTTGGAAGGGAACTACATGGGAAAAGTAGAGTTTGATCGTGTGCTAGAAAGCAAGGATTTGCGACAGGAGAGAAGGGGATAGGCGATCCTTAGCCCTATAGTGTTGCCCATGTGTCATGCTGTTATTTGTACAAGAATTTCCTTCATAAACCAAGACATGACCTCCATGCATGCCTCCATGTATTTTTTCAGCCCAATCACTAATTTGCTTAACCATATCTTCTTCACCAACGGCTAGTGGTTGTCACTTTAATAGAAAATATGTCCTTGATGGCCATGTTGTTAGCCACAAGGAAGCTAAAAGATCAATAGCCTCCATTGGCATTTTTCTTTTAACACTGATTCAATGTTCTAATTTTACAGTGCAAGATGAAAAAAAAAACAAAAAACAAAAAAATAAAGGTCAAATTATCACATCAGTAATGGAATTCACGTCCGTCACATCATTAGTGGTCTATTAGTAGTATTGAATTAGTAATCTGAAATATTTTTCTTTTTCTTTTTCTTTTTCAACTCAAGTTTAGATGATAGGGATTTTAAATAGAAACATAAATATAATTTTTTAGCCTCCATGATTCCAATGTTTAATGGAACCCATAATATTTATAATTTTGTTACTTTTTCATTGAAAATTTCTAACAAAACCAAATACTTGAACAATTACTCTTCATATTCTTGTCATCCAAACCTAACATCTCCATTGACGTAGAAAACGAGGCATGTGAAACGCTGATACTCTTGTTGTCTGAGAATTGCATGTGAGACCGTCGCCAGTTTGTTTTTGGAAGTAGAATAGAAAGAATTGATGGTAAGAGAATTAAATAAAATTATATTTGTTTTGATAATAGTTATTAGTATAGGAATTGTTAAATTATATTTTATATAAAATAATAAAACAAATAAAAAATATAAAAAATTAAACATTAATGTTCAAAAAAAAATACTCAACATATAAAAAATAAAAAAAATTATAATCTCCTCACTATTTTTCTAATATTACCTCCACCTCCTTCATCCCAATCCCCCTTCCAACCTTCATCTTAATCTCATTCTCCATCTTAATTCCTTCTCCAACTCTACAAACAAATACAACACTAAATAACTCCACTTCTATCCTAATCTCATTCCACCCTTTACATCTCAAAACAAACGGGGCCTTAGTACAAATCTTGCATTTTTTTGAAATTTCTATTCAAAAAGTTTTTTTTTCTTTATAGGGCCAACCATAATTATCTGGAAAAATTACAAATCAGTAAAATAGTGAAAAAATATTTTTATAGTGGTATAAATTTTTTTTGTGTATGATATAATTTCTGCTTATATTTAGTGTGTGGGTGATTTTTCGACCACACTGCCCGCTTAGTAACCAACTGGAGAGCACTGGCAGAATAGATGGCACCTGACTGACCTGCAATAGAAATATAAGAATCCCGCGGTGGTTTCGACCACCCGGGGGCACTCCGACGATCAAGTCAGTATATCTCTCAAAGATAAATCAAGTACTAAACTCACAAGCTTGAGTATCAAAGGCATACCTTAGACCCATGGGGGTGCCTCTCTTTTATAGCCAATACAATCCTAGTCCCAATAGGAGCCTGGCCCTAATGGACTTAGGATTACTGCTAATCTGGGACTTCCAGTGGGATTAGGATAAACTCTCTAAGAGTCTTATCTTTACCCAAACTGAAGTCTTTGCCCTAACTGGTAGAAAGGAAATGGTATTTATGGCAAACCTCTGTGCATTTCAGTTTTGGCAACGTGTTTACAAGGTAAAGTAGTTTGTTACACTTGAATTTCTGGAAGATTGTCTTTCTCAATGGAATTCGAAAATTTATTCGTTTGTCTACTTCTTAAAGGATAAGCTCCGTCTTGATCAGCTGAAACAACTTTTACACTTTGATGAGATGAAAGCTGCACTATTATTGGCCCCTGAAGAAGAATGGTGTTCTTTCCACAATCTCGTTCATCCATCACTAAACCATGTCGCAGAAATATGTATGGGTTTAACAATCTCATGTATATGCAACCATGATTTGAGTTTTATCTCACGGTGAGTGTGTTTTTCTGCAGATGAAGATATACTAAATTCAGTTCACCGCTTTCGACCCAAATTTCTGGCTACAGCTGATGGTCTACCATTGTATTATGAGCCTTACGAGTTTCAACATACATGTCTTCTCACATGTCAGAAAAATGAAAATACGGACACTATGGCTGCAGATGATGAGCACTCTGAGCTTCCGAATGAAAAAAGGAAATGTAATTTTGTGCCATTCGTTCCTTCGAGTTACTTTCTGTCACATGAGGTGGCTGAAAATTTGGCAACTATAATCAAAGAGGTATTGCAATTTTTTTGCCATGTAAAAACCATTCTTGATATTGAATTGATATTATTCACCCAAAAAAGATATGGTATTGATCTTTCTCCTTGCTCATCATGTTCGATAGGTAAGAGTTCAATGTACAGAACACATATCTGGGAACGAATATAAATACGTTAATGGTGATGGTCCTCCTGCCCCTTGGGAACCTTCTCTATGTAAATTTTTTGTCAAAGGGCTGTGCAACAGGGGCAACCAATGCTCATTTTCTCATTCACTTCAAGCAAAAGATCTGTCTGCAAGTTCTTCCTTTCTCTCAAGGTATTTACTTGTCTGGCTCTGAGCTTCTTTGAAGTTTTGTGCTGTGCAATTTCAGTTGTTTCTAACATGGTTGATAGAATCTTACGAATCGAGCTTCAAGCAAAATGATTTGATTCATACAGTGAATCTTAAATTGAGTCTAATGGAGAGAGTTCAACAAAAACTCAAGATTGAGCTCAAGCATGCCCAACTGTGAGTAACTAGCAGTTACCAATTTTTTAAGTTTTATCAGTTTCTCTTTGTATTTGCTACAATTTCTCTATTCAATTGAGAAAACTCGCTTGTAATCAAAAGAATATTAGGAATTCTTCAGTACACAAAAGAATATTCAATTTCTCTACCTAGTGGATAGCCATTCTGAATTTTCAAGTATATATTGTCCATGTGCTGGCTTGCGTGGTTGGCAATTTGAATTTTTTTGACATATTTCTTGTGCAGCTATTGAATGTTTATGCACCCAAGTTTGAGACTGGTGGAACATTTTGGCCATTAGTACATAGTCCAGCTTTTGTGTTTCTCTACCAGTTCTCACTCTTATATTCAATGACTATTGCCGGAAACATTTTCTACCCATATTCCAAGCTTATTCTGCTGAGGTATGTTTACAAAGAACACCAATTGTCTTTTCATCCTTTTGATTTTTATTGTTCAATTGATGTCTAACTGATATCAAAGACATTTTGTATATATTACTTACATCTAAGAACAATGAATGAATTCGTTAATTGATATGCATAACTCTGCAGAATCTACTCTGATACAGAGGTCAAAACAATTAGTACAAAATATGCATTGAAAATGGCAACTATTCCTGATTTAAATATGGACTGTGAAGCCATCATGGACAAGTAAGAAAAAACTGATAACCTAGAAAAGGATAATAAAATTGATCCATGTAATAAATTTCTAACAATAAGGCCATCTACTCCAGTGAGTTTTGGGAGCCTGAAATTTGGTCCGTTAGGTAACATTTATACAATTCACGACTTTGACCTTTTTTCTTCTTCTTCTTCTTAATCTTATTTTATTCTTTCTTTCTTTCTTTCTTTCTTTCAGTTTGAATAGTTTTGAATTTGGTTGATCATATCTTTGCACAGGGTTACCTTATACTATTTATATTATGACCAATCATTTTTCAAAATCTAATACTAATATATTGACATGGTTTTTGAGCTATGTGTTTCACTTTTAGTAGATTCTCATGTACCTGTTTTGAGTCATATTAGTGATTCTGTGAGCATCGCCAACTAGTGAAGCCTTTTGCAGGAGCTGTCTACAGAACTTTTTCAGATTTGCAGGGCAAAGTGATTTTCAAATAATTCATTTCAAATCTGAGTCTCTCTTTATTGGAACTCCCATGATCTCAAAGGTGCACTCTTTTCTCTTCTTTCTTCACTTCTCTTTAATGGGTATTTGATAGTTTTTGTGCTGTTGTTTTGGATACTGTGAGTTTCTGTGTTGTTGTTGTATAAAAAAATCCTAGATGTCCAATTGGAACTGAGATTGAAGAATCTACTGTAATTTATAGGTTTTTGATGACGGGTTGTGGAAATTTTGAATTTTTGATTTGGATATCATATTGTCTCTGTTCTGGTTTTCTACTAGATTTACTCCTGCAGACTAGCATCTTATAGATTGTGGATCACCCTTTATTTTATTTTTAGAATTTTAATAGTTGGGATTTCACACTTTGAAGAACAGCTCTGTCTCTCTGAATTTATATTGTATTTAACTACATAGCATTTTATACTATGAAGGCACCTGGTTGAATTTGATATATGTTTTTGCAAATTTTGTTGAGGGAATAGTTGATATGATCGAGCGGGTGATGTTGGGAGCCAAAGATTAAGTTGCTCTTTTTTTTTTTTTTTGAAGACTTTGAATTTTTTAGTACAATGTATTTAATTACTCTTCATATTCTTGTCATCCAAACCTAACATCTCCATTGACGTAGAAAACGAGGCATGTGAAACGCTGATACTCTTGTTGTCTGAGAATTGCATGTGAGACCGTCGCCAGTTTGTTTTCGAAAGTAGAATAGAAAGAATTGATGGTAAGAGAATTAAATAAAATTATATTTGTTTTGATAATAGTTATTAGTATGGGAATTGTTAAATTATATTTTATATAAAATAATAAAACAAATAAAAAAATATAAAAAATTAAACATTAATGTTCAAAAAAAAATACTCAACATATAAATAATTTGCGACCGTTGCTTTGCCGTCGCAAAAAGTATTTGCCACCCCCACATTTGCGTCCCCCATTTGCGGTAGCATAGGCCGTCGCAAAAAGTCTTTTGCGACAGTATTTTTATTATTTGCGACGGCTTGTGGCGGTCGCAAAAAGTATTTTTTTTAGTAGTGTCTCATTCTCCATCTTAATTCCTTCTCCAACTCTACAAACAAATACAACACTAAATAACTCCACTTCTATCCTAATCTCATTCCACCCTTTACATCTCAAAACAAACGGGGCCTTAGTACAAATCTTGCATTTTTTTGAAATTTCTATTCAAAAAGTTTTTTTTTCTTTATAGGGCCAACCATAATTATCTGGAAAAATTACAAATCAGTAAAATAGTGAAAAAATATTTTTATAGTGGTATAAATTTTTTTTGTGTATGATATAATTTCTTCTTATATTTAGTACAAATTTTTTCTGTATGGTAATTTTATACCCAAGAAAATTTTATTTATAATATAATTATTTTTTTACTAGCCTAATAATTTATAATTTTTCCTAATTATTGCTATATGGTAATAAAGAAAATTTAGACATAATAGAAAGAAGATTTGGAAGGGAACTACATGGGAAAAGTAGAGTTTGATCGTGTGCTAGAAAGCAAGGATTTGCGATAGGCGATCCTTAGCCCTATAGTGTTGCCCATGTGTCATGCTGTTATTTGTACAAGAATTTCCTTCATAAACCAAGACATGACCTCCATGCATGCCTCCATGTATTTTTTCAGCCCAATCACTAATTTGCCTAACCATATCTTCTTCACCAACGGCTAGCGGTTGTCACTTTAATAGAAAATATGTCCTTGATGGCCATGTTGTTAGCCATAAGGAAGCTAAAAGATCTCTAGCCTCCATTGGCATTTTTCTTTTACCACTGATTCAATGCTCTAATTTTACAGTGTAAAATGAAAAAAAAACAAAAAATAAAAAATAAAGGTCAAATTATCACATCACGTCCGTCACATCATTACTAGTTTATTAGTAGTATTGAATTAGTAATTTGAAATATTTTTCTTTTTCTTTTTCTTTTTCAACTCAAGTTTAGATGACAGGTATTTTAACAGAAACATAAATATAATTTTTTAGCCTCCATGATTCCAATGTTTAATGGAACCCATAATATTTATAATTTTGTTACTTTTTCATTGAAAATTTCTAACAAAACCAAATACTTGAACAATTACTCTTCATATTCTTGTCATCCAAACCTAACATCTCCATTGACGTAGAAAACGAGGCATGTGAAACGCTGATACTCTTGTTATCCGAGAATTGCATGTGCGACCTTTGCAAGTTTGTTTTCCAAAGTAGAATAGAATGGATTGATAGTGAGAGGATTAAATAAAATTATTTTTATTTTGATGATAGTTATTAGTGTAGGAATTGTTAAATTATATTTTATATAAAATAATAAAACAAATAAAAATATATAAAAAATTAAACATTAATGTTAAAAAAATGCTCAACATATAAAAAATATAAAAAATTATAATCCCCTCACTATTTTTCTAATATTACCTCCACCTCCTTCATCTTAATCTCATTCTCCATCCTAATCCCTTCTCCAACTCTATAAACAAACACAACACTAAATAACTCTACTTCTATCCTAATCTCATTCCACCCATTACATTCCAAAACAAACGGAGCCTTAGTACGAATCTTGCATTTTTTTGAAATTTCTATTCAAAAGGATTTTTTTTCTTTATGGGGCCAACCATAATTATCTGGAAAAATTACAAACCAGTAAAATTGTGAAAAAATATTTTTATAGTGGTATAAATTTTTTTTTGTGTATGATATAATTTCTGCTTATATTTAGTGTGTGGGTGATTTTTCGACCACACTGCCCGCTTAGTAACCAACTGGAGAGCACTGGCAGAATAGATGGCACCTGACTGACCTGCAATAGAAATATAAGAATCCCGCGGTGGTTTCGACCACCCGGGGGCAAAATTTTATGTATAATATAATTATTTTTTTACTAGCCTAATAATTTATAATTTTTCCTAATTATTGCTATATGGTAATGACCTCAGTATTTTTTGTCCGGAAAATGAATTGTGGCCCTAAAAACAGTGGCCCTAATGACCCTAATTTCCTTTTCTGGATAAGTTTATTTTTTTTTCTTTTTTTTTTTGCCTTATTTTTTTTTTTTGTTGCCTTATATGAAAATTTAGGGGCATTCGGGTCCCTAAATTTCGAGCTACTATGGTAATGACCTCAGTATTTTTTGTCCTGCCCGCCACACCAGCACATGGGGTGGTGTGAACCCATTACCCAAAACACATGATATGTATCTATCAAATGAGCAGTGAAATAAATAAGATGATTGGATGGATGAGACATTCTTTTATTTAATGTAATGTCTTATTATAAAATTAAAATTTTATTCGATGATATGTACCTATCAAGTGAGCAGTGAAATAAATAATATGATTGGGTGAATGAGACATTCTCTTATTTGATGCAATGTCTTCTTATAAAATTAAAATTTTATTTTGATGGAATTAAAACTATAAAATTCATCCATTAATATAATTATTATATTTTAGGGTTTTTATTGCTCGTTCTTTGAAGTTCAACCATGAGAATTATACAATTAAGATGTATGATTAAGGTCCCATTTGGCAACCTAATTTTTTAATTTTAAAAAAAAAAATTATTACAAAAAATTCAAACAACTCAATAATTTATGATTTTCGATATAATTGAAAAAAGTCATTTTCAAATACATATAATTTTTTGGAGATTTTTTTTTTAAGGCCTCTAATATTAAAATTTTATAAGATAAATGACATACAATATTTTCATAGTAGTTAAAATCTCTCAATTCTACAGAGAAAATTAGACTCAGAGAAATTTCATCCCGACCCAGAAAAATTTCAATTTTCCCAGAGTAAAATTTCTCTATAATCATATCAGAAAAAATTCAAAATTTCTCTGAGTCGGGGTCAAAATTTCTCTGTGTCAGATAAAATTTCTTTGAGTTGAATTTTCTCTGTGAAAATGTTGATGGACCTTAGCTAATAAAAAAAAAACATCTTGGACCTATCCTATTGTACAAGTTGGAGAGGGATGTTTAACTAATTTTTTCTAATTTTTTTTCACCTCATAAAAAAGTAAAAAAATAACTTAAAAAACTAATTCCCAAACATTGCCTAAACTTGTACACTAAAAATAAAAACCATTGTTTATTCAACCTCAACAAAATATGAAAAAAGAAAAGAAGACAAATTAATCATTTGTAAGTATGTTAACTCAATCATCTATTTAGCTCAATTAATATAAAACATTTTTAATACCTTATTGGATAGCCGTTGGAACATTTTAAAAAATTGGGAATGCTATAAAATAGATCTATGTTAGAACATATAATGTAGAAAAATGAGATGTCACCACCCCTTAAATGATGTTTGAGTTTAAATTTCACTGTAATATGATATAATTTATTTTTATTTCTCTCTTAATTAAAAAAAAAATAAAAAATAAAAAACAGAAGTAAGTGATGTTTTGATACTTATTTCTCCAGAGAAGAATAATTGTGCATAGACACAAATCATTTGCTAACTTAGGTGAAGTGTGTGCATGTGCATGTGCATGTGCATGTGCATGTGCATGTGTGGTAGGCTTCACGTGTACGCTGAGCAAAACTTCAATAATTCAATGATTAAATGTTTTATTGGATTGTTTATGGCAGACATAGAAATATAATCCGCTTGATTCAAGTTTGATCTTTGTCCTAAGAAAAGTCTGTTCTTTACTTTCTCACTCTCACTTTTAGCATATTATCCTCTCTAATCAGTGTTTAGCTTTTCTACTTGTTTCACTACTTTACGTAATGGGATCTTGACACCACTTTGTGCTGTGATGAAACACCACTCCACCAGTTTTCAAAATTTCTAAAATTTAAAATAAATAAATAAATAAAAATGTGTTTTTAAAATATTTTGAGAACGAATTTTTATTTCCTTTTCTCTCATTAACCTTTTTGGTCCAACTATTAAGCTATTTAGCTTGCTGCTTAACGCCTGACAAGAAAATCTCAATTTTTTATTTTATTTTTTATTATTAAAGATCTTAATTTTTTAAAAGACTAATAAAATAATGACTCATTTTATATTTAGTCTAACGTCTCAAAAAAAATCTTGAATCACTACTTCAATCTATACTCTCCCTCCAACCCCTACCTTTCAACTACTCCCTCTCTGTAGTCAACTTCCTCATCGTCCAACAATTCACTAAATTTGTTTTTTTGTTTATATTTTTGTGTTTTAAAATCATGTGTATACCCAAAATATATATATATATATATATGTGCAACAAGCATATTATTATTATTTTCGGAAAAAAAGATAAAATAAGATCATGTTTGTTTTTAAACCAAAAGCAGATATTTGTTAACGCTATTCAATGCAACCCAAAATTGAGTTTATTAATTGAAAAAATCTGGAGATGAGGGCTTAAAGTCCCAAATTTTCCGGGACAGGGAATTGTGTAGTGAAAATTAA